CATGATGGAGTTTCCGTGAGCGGTCAGCGGCTGACGTTACTACACGATTAGTTGCTAGTGTTTACTCTTTTATTGCTTAGTTGCTGGTCAGTTTGTGAGGCAGAGTGCTCGGAATGTGGACGTGGAAAAGTCTTGGTAAGTTAGAGAATTCATTATATATTTTGTTGCAAAATATACTATTTAAGACTCCTGGAGCTCATGCAGTTGGGCTCAAACTGGAAGAGCTACTTCGTGCAACTGTCTAGTGGAACTGTTGAGCGCGCAACAACTTAAGATTCTGTGCGCGCGCTCGTGATGGATTTCCTGGGCTAGTTTATTTAGATTTCCTTCTTTTCCTACAAAATTTTTGAGTTAATCAAGATATTTATTTTTTTGCTAAAGCACGGTGCATAAACACGGCTACATCACTCGGCGAAGAACCACTCATCTAATTCCTTGAGGTGAGATATGTTTAAATGGATGTGAGGACTTCAGACAGGTGGGGTAAACTTTCCCCCGATCCTGACCCCTCCTAAGAGGACCTGCCTAGCCATAGTTGAAAACAACTGGGGTGTCCAATCAATGAAACAAATTACTGGTGACAATCGCAATCAATCAATACCAATGAATAGTACTAAATTGATTGATATTGATATTCAAGAACCAATCAATGTCTAGCAATTGTATGGGTGAGCCCATTGATGTCATCATTAAGCATTGAAAGTCGTTGTCAATTGATACCAATCAACTGGAATTAATCAACTTACTGTATATTGTTATTAATTATTAAACTGATGGCAGAACCAGGAGAATAACAATGTGTATCACTGCATTATATTATATACCTAGAGGCAGTTTTATTGACAACTATTATAAGTTAAATTAATGGCCAAACCATGAGAACAACAAGGTGTGTGATTGCATTACATACATTTTATATAAAATATTGTGGTCAGCTTTGACCCTTTGACTATGGTGATCAGAGTGTAAAATACTCTTAGAAATTCACTACTGTCCCAAAATTAATTGAAGCAGGAAGTTTGTATAAATTATGTAGATTATTGTGATTAATAAGGATTAACCTTGATATGAAATCATTCTGACTACACTCACCCAAGACATTCATTGTGAAAAGTTTATTTAGGATGAGTCAGTCAGTCTTCTAGTATTCACATCCTGATACAATGTTATAATATATAGGCTAAAACTAGGGGTTCTACATGAAGAACCTGTGCTGCACCAGATATGAAAAAAACCACTAAAAACCACTCGTTAGATGTGGCCAAAAAATGAGTGGGAATGTATTCCTCATCAAATGCTGCAGCACAATACCCCAAGGACCAGATAAACTAACCTGGTTGTAGTATTTATTACTACCAAAATTACAAGGAATACAAAAAAGAAAGTGGTCAAACGTAAGACTTACCGACCAAGAATGACTTAATTTTCCTGGGAAATGCTTAAATAATCCAAATTTCCACTATGCCTCACAAACCGCTTCAAAATGCCATCAGAATAAAAATTTCTGACATATTGGTTCCCATGTCAGTCAAACATCAGAAATAACATAAATTCTCAGATGTCAAAGAAACTACAGTAATGTATAGTTTTGAAAATTATATATGATCTGACAGGTTGGGAATGAAAAGTTTATATATTTAGAACCTGGCTCCTTGCTAAAACTTTGTTAGGGTTGGGTTTCTTCAAAATCCTTCCATAGAATAAAAAGGTCGTAGGTCTGTCATCCATGACTTCCTCAACTCAGTCACCAGTGAGGGAAGATCTGGGAAATCGCAATTATTAAATGATATTTGTCCTGTGTCTCTAACAACCTATTTGAAGGAGTTTAAAAACGATAACATTACCATGATATTGAAGTTCATGTCAGAATCCAATGAAATAGAAAAACAGAGTAACAAATTACATATACATTTAATTTCTTCAGCCTGACAATTTCAATGCCTGAAATTGATTAGAAATGGCCTTCATGCTATGTGTTCACATTTTCTTCAACACCAATAGGCTTGGATCAGTTACTCTCCCTGTAGGGAATGTTCCCTCTTGTATACAGTTTACCCTCAGCATGAAACCAGGTTTCCCTGTAATCTTGTTAGATAATAATTTTAGTACACAGCACTCTGACCTCATCCAGAGCTTAAAATGTAGTGCTAAAAATTATGAGAAGTGAAGATTTTCCAAAGATTTACTGAAGTCGTGTTTTCAGCATGAAGAAAGCCTCATAATCATGCAAAAGTTTGGTGATCCAAACCTAAACTAATTTAAGGTACCAGTAAAATTAACTATTAACTATATTTACTTTGTTCCTTTACCATCAGCATCAACAGAAACTGAGTTCTTCATCAGATGGAGCATCTAAAGGTTAAAGTTTTAGTTAAGTGTCAGATCTTTTGGTTGTGCTGTTGGCATACTCCTCTTTGAGCTTTTTTTAAAAAGAGGCATCACATGTACTTTGTGAAGTTAAACAGCATTCTGGCAGGGCAAAGTTCAAATTTCGTAAAGAGCAATTGTAACAATTACACTGTGCTGTGGAACTTTTAAAAGTTTGGTATTTTCCTTGAAAAGTAAATAAAATGTGTTTTTATTCCTCCATTGATCCATAAATCTTTTCCGTTTTTTTTTAAGCATATAGTCAACATTAATTACATGCACACATCATCATAACAATTTTTCCTTCTGCAATGCTGCTCATGATAGTGGTTATAGGATTATTGTACCTGTAAATGAAATGTTTTAATTGTCATCATGGTCATCATTTCTGTAGTTGATATACTATCAAGAATAAGTTAATTGATATGCAATGGTAACATGCAATTAGAGTGTAGTTATCTGTAGCTAAAAAAATGTATTCATAACATAACAGTCACAAGTCAAGCTCTCAGGTCCTCACAAAGTAATTATACTGCAGTGTAAAACTGAAAAATTACAATCAGCGGAGATGTACTGGTTGTATGTAGGTAAATTCTGTAGTCATTATATTGTGTTGAAGGAACAGTATTTAATATGTACTTTTGTGTTACTCTTATTAATATTATTGGCATTTGTAACTCCTTTCTTTTACCTTCTTTAGGCAGCCTTGCATTCCTTCACTGGGAGATCCAAACCACACTGAGAGTCGTATGAAGTTATGGCGGTAGACAGATGCAGATTCCTTTTCTTCTAAATATTTTTTAAGGACAACAACTTAAATTTAGCATCAGGTTAAAGCAGTATTGGGAGATTTGGTGACCTAACTTGGTTAACAAGCTCTTTGTACTGTACCATTTATAAGTCCCAACTTAACCCTTGGGGCATTGTGATGTGGTCCTAGGTGCACTGACTGCAGTAGAGTGTATGGATGATGGGAAACAATCATTTTTTGAAGGGCATGCACATTTGCACCTTTTCAAAACTAAATGTTTATCAGCATCATTTTTTGACCTTCCCAACTGAATAAGAAATGTCCTCAACATACTGGGCATTTTTACTGGGAAATGTCTGCACTTTCACCTTGTCATAGCACACATGTATGTTGTCAGCACACAAATTTTACAAAGGTAGGCCCAGTAAATCAATATTTCTAAGTGTTTTGGTGCAGTTAAAGTGACAGTTACAGTATTTGAACTGTCACAGTGTTAATTATTGACTACTTATGTAGAATTTCTTTGTACATGTATAAGATAGCTCTTACTAGTCCTTACCATATTTGACCATGAGGACATACATTAGAAATTTTAACAAGGCAATTCCTTCATGCTGTAGGTATTCTGAATAGGATCCCTTGAGAGCACCTTCAAAGTCATTCCAACTCTATATAAAACAGATTTTAGGGTAATAATGTCATGTAAACCTTTGTAATTTTTATTATTTCCTTTTGCCATATTGTGGGATCCCTTTTTGTGAGACACTAAAATAAGTCAAGTATAAGTTAGTCAAGAAGCTGTTCAGTCCTTTATTTTTCTTATCATATTTTTCTCAGTTAGGTTGGTCGCATAGGGGTCTTTTTGTAATGGTTTGAAAAAATCTGTCATAAGTCCTAAAAAACAGTGCTCAATAATTAAGAGATGTTAATGTGCATTTTAGTATGGTATCAAATTGTTTCATACCCAAATTCAGACAATTTGTACTAAATTTGAGTCGTTTTGTACCCAAACCACAGATTGATTCGTACCAGTCCCAACATGCATTCATTCAAAATACCTCACACACAAGTATGTGAGCAGATGTTGATTGCGTACGACAATTCAGTAGAGTCAAGGGAGTTAGAGATAGACAAAATTCTGTTGTATACTTTTGACCTTCTAAGCAGAAACAACTAAATTGTGTATTTGTTTTTCTCCCTTTGGAGGTCACGTTTAAAAATGGATGCCACATAAAAAAACTTATTTATGCAAACTGACCTTACTTTAAATATACTTAACAGGTAAAGCATATTCTGACAATTAGTTTGGGTACAAAACAACTTAATTGGCTGGGAACCAATCAGCCTAGCTGGGTATGAAACAAGTCGGTATGGGATGAACATACACTGGGTATGAAAGGACTGGTGACCATTAGTATGACCTGTATAACAATGATTTTTACATTTACCTAACATGTGTTGTATACTGTACAATGTACATTAAGTACTAAGGAGATTTATTGTTTGCATTTTTTTTTCCTAAGCACTACACAGGTAGGGAAGGGGACTGATTTATTTTCAGTTTTACCTAGTAGTTCAACCCAAGACTTATTCGAGCTTTTTTTTGTGTTTTGGGAGTGATCATTGTCCAAGGCTTTTACCTGTTGAACCTGTAACCTAATTTCTTTTTAAATTGTTTTTTAGGGTGGATTTTGTTATTCTATCATACGTTTCTGCTATATTATGATAATTGTGGTTATTGTTTGGATGAAAAAAAGTTTAGGTTCTAGAGAGCAATAGTGTCAGA